GCAGTATTAATCACAATGTCCAGAGGTGAAAACAACCCATGTGTCCATCAACAGGAATGGATAGGCAAAATGTAGTGTAGTCATACAATGGAATATTGCTCAGTCATGAAAAAGAATGACAACATGAATAAACCTTGAAGAAATTATGCTAAATGAAATAAGCCAAATATGAAAGACTGATAGGGTATGATTCCATTTGAATGAAGTGTTTAGGACAGACAAATTCAGAAAGAAAGAAAATTAAAGTATACTAGTAGCTAAGGGGAGAGAGTGGAGGGTTACTGATTAATTGGTTATAGTTTCTTTTTGGGGTGATGGAAAGGTTTGAAAATAGTGGTTTTAATGTGTACATGCTGTGAATGTAATTAATGCCACTGAATTGTACACTTAAAATGATTAACATGAAAAATCTGTATTATATGTATTTTTAACATGATAGAAAATTTCTAATAAAACAATAAATAAGTTATCTTAAGTGAAGAGAATAAAATGATGGGTGTTCTGGCTTGTATCTAGATGTCTTCCAAAGCCTCGTGAGGTCATAAGTGGGGCTTTTTGGAGGTGGCTGGATCTAGGGTATGTGACGCTGGGATTAAGGATGTGATGCTGGGGTTGATTCATGACATGATGATAGGATTAAAGGGTGAGGGCAGGTACCCTGGGTAAGATATAAGGGACAGAAAGAGCTGTGGCCGTGGCTTGTCTTGTTGCTTGCTTGCTTTGCTGTCTTCTGCCTACCATGAACTGTTTCTCCTCTGCAATGCCCCTCTGCCATGCCACCCTGCCTTGGAAACAGCCAACTATGGACTGAAGCCTCTATGAGCTGTGAACTAATATACCTTTCCTCCATTAACTTTGGTTGTTGAGTATTTTGTCTCAGCAACAAGAAACTAAGTAACTAAGACAATGGGAAATAGCATCCATTGCAGAAAACTGGGACCCCCTGAACCCATCACTGCATAAAGTGCTTTGGAAAGTGACCCTGTGCTCTCCCCACTGGATGGACCAGGGTGGCTGCTGGCTCCCTTCCATCAATGCCAGGTCGCACCCAGCAGGACAGCAAGTGTTAGCAGACTCCCGCTCACTCCCCAGCTGCATGGCCTGGGACAAGTTATTTAACCTGAGCCTCTCTTCCATATGTGCAAGAAAGGAATAATGATAACATTAGCCACAATAACTGAGAAGATCTACTTCCTGCCTTTCCCTCCTGTCCTGGCCTGAAGTCACCACAGAATCAACTGTAGTTACAAATCAGAATGCTCGTCCCTGCTGAAGTTGGTGGTGAAGAGTCACACCCTGAGGGGAACCCAGGAACACACAGGCCTACATCCCAGAGCCCATGGGGTCAGCAGGGAAAGGGCCGAGCTGCCAGGCCACACACTTCCGGGTACCCTTTAAACTGTCCGTAGCTTCCCAGAGAAATAGAGCCACTTGAAAAATCAGCCGAAGCCAGATGTAATTAGGAATGAGAGCCTGTGGCAGCCAAAAGCAGCCAAACTGTGGGAGGGTGATGACAGTCCCAGGCCAAACTGAACAGTGGTCCAGTTACCTATGGAACAATGCAACACTCTGTTGTAATTGTAATGATGATGGTTTTCATTTGCCTTCTGCAGAGGAAATAATTGACTCACTGCCGCTCTGCCTCATTTCTCTGTCCCTGCCGGGGACTGAGGTGTTTCTAAATAACTGAAGTTTATCCCTGCAATCCCTAACATTTTCTCCCCATTGAATTGCTCTGGGGACAGATCTCTCCGGACTGGATTACACACTTCCCTGCTTCTCTAATCAGAATATTCTAAACTGAGTGCAGCCTTTCCTTGTCACTTTCCACACAAGGGGCTGTTTGCCCCTGTATTTATGGCTCTATGGAGCTTTACTTTTTTTCAGTCGACAAATGTTTTCTGTTTATTGCCGCCGTTTCTCACTCACAGAACAGCCCTTGCTACCTATTTTTAGGCGCCTCATCAAACATGCAGACACAAGCACACATACATGTGTACACACACTCACACACCAGTCTATGGTGAGAAACCAGTGTCGGGCCCAGAGAGCATGTTTCCGGCCTCCCTGCACACCCCTCGTTACAGCACCAGGTCGGATGCTCCTGGGTTAAACACACGCGAGCATGATTTTGCCTCCTGCCGGGTTCTGAGGGTGCCAAGGAGAATGGAGCTCACCCAGTCCGCAGAGCAGAGCCATGTGCCTGGGCTGCTGCCAGCACAAACTGGCCTTGGGCCCTGCAATTCAGGGCAGCGAGTGTAGCCCAGGGAACCAAGGGAATTTCTTGCTCGGGATTCTGAGGCTGTTCACAGTGCAGAGCAGAGAGGAGGAGGCAGTTTCTGTGGTGTCCCTGGCCTTTGCTTTGCAGCTGCCGTCTGTCCCCAGTGCCACCTCCTTGATTTATCCTCCAGCTCATGGCCTGTTTCCCGACAGCGGAGGACCAGAAGCAGAAGATCTGGGCCTGCCCTTGCTTTAACCTCGGACAGTCACTTAGCTCTCTGGCTCTTTATCTCCCCATCTGCAAAATGGGGAAATAATAAAGTCAAAATCGCAAGGTTCTACAGATTCAGGGTTTTTTTGTTTTGTTTTATTTTGTTTTGGTACTGGGCATTGAACTCAGGACCTTGTGCTTGCAAGGCAGGTGCAGCACCACTGAGCTAAATCCCTGGCCTCAGATTCAGTTTTGTTAATGTAGGTAAAACTTCCAAGATAGTGCCTGCCATTCAAAATGAGATCATCAGTACAATGGAGTCATTTCATACGTACAATAAATTTATGTCAACCACATGTATTTGGCAACAAAGAAAAGATAGAGAAATGCTATAGCCAGGGGTGGTGGTACACACCTATAATCCCAGCACTCAGGAGGCTGAGGCAGGAGTATTCCTATGTGTGTGAGGCCAGCCTGAACTACATAGTTTGTTTTGTCTCAAAACAAACAAACAAAAATGCTACAGTTGGTAATTCTTCTAATCTTTCCACTCCCTGGGTCTGTGTCCTGGAGAGAGAGTGGAGTGGGAGACCTGGGCTGCCCCTCACTCTCTGTCCTGTGAGCCTCTGTCAGTGTGAGTGGGTGTTGTCACTAGAAAGGGACATGGCTTCTGCCTTACTATGACACCAGGTAGACAATTTGGGATGAGATCATTGGGCCACCATGGCCTGGCCACCATGGGTCAGCTGAGTTTGTTGAGTGACTATCTGGGCACAGATGAAGAAGAGAGGGACCAAGATAGAGTGATGGGGATGCCAAGACTTGGTGGTTCTGTTTGTTAAGGGATGACAGACTGACTGCTTGACCCTACCAGCTAGTGGGAGGGATATGTGGAGATCGGCAGGCTGATGGAGTGATCCTTCCACCAACTCTTTAGTTCCCAATATCCCACAGCCTCATTGGCCACACTGAACCTTGCACTCCCCTCTATGCACAGCACTGGAGTGCCACTGTGCCTTCGATCATACTGAGCCTACCCTGGTGGCACCTTCCCACTCCCACTCTCTGTGTCTTAGTCACTTCCCCATCACTGGAACAAAATACCCAATATCCACAACTTAAAGGAAGAGAGGTTTATTTTGGCTCACTGTGTTTAGAGGGGTCAGTCCACGGTCGGCAGGCTCCAAGGTACGGTATGGTAGAAGGCTCTATGGGAGGACAGCTGCTCATCCCATGGCAGCGAGGAAGCAGAGAAAAAAGGGAGGAGCTGGGGACAAGAATATACTTTTCCAGGAATGAACCCACTGATGAGTATAGCGCCCCAAAGATCCAATCACCTTCCAAATGCACGGGACCTTTGGGGGACATTTTCAATCTAAATCTAATAAATACTCTGAGTACCTAAACCCCAGAAACCTGGGCAGCAAAGATCAAGTGATCATCTGCTGATCATCTCTGTGACTTCAGGCAGTAAGCAGGGTAATGAAACTTTCCAGCTCACCCAGGACCGAGAGACTTCCCAGAACATGGGACTTTGAGTGCTGAAAGTAAGACAGATGGCCTCCCTTTCAGGCAGCCGAGTGAGCCATCTCTCACAGCCCACTGGAGATGCCTTCTCTCCAAGGAAGCTGTGCCCGGTCTCCTTAGCTGGGAGGAATCTTTCCCTCTGCTGAACTTCTAGCACATTACTTCTGCCTCCCCATGCCCGAACTCCATACCCGACCCCCACTCCAGAATTCACATCAGTGAGGCTGCACTTTGCAGACATCTTTGTGTCCTGGTGGCACCAAGTGAGGTCGCCTCCTGGGCTCAGCCCCTTTCTTCAGCTGTAGTGTGAATTTCTGCAAAGCTGATTCAGCTATCACTCTTTGAAACGTTTAATTACATGTAAAGATCTTGCAGGCTGTCTGTCACCTCCCAGGGAAACATTTCTTTTTCCGGCTCCTTCTGAAGCTAACAGCTTGGGAAGTAATGAAATTGAACTGAAGATGAGGTGATCAGGGGCCGTAGGTATTACTGAAAGGAAAAAAGAGACCAGAAGGATGAGAGGAAGATGGAGTCAGGGGAGGGATAGGGAGTTAGAAGAATTGTTCCCAAAGCAAGAGACAGATGAGAAAAACTAAGGAGTGCTGTGGGGAGAGAGGAAGAGGCAGGACAGACAGAGAAATGGGAGCCGGGCTGAGCTATGGAGGGACTAAGAAGAGCACCAGGGAGGGTCACAAAGAGGGCTGGCAGGTGGGGAGGGGACAGGCCTGGCTGAGAGCACAGAGAATGACAACCACCGAGCGAATCAGCTGTGACCCCGGTTCCGCAGCAGGAGAGGGCCTACGGTGGCAGAGGGACTTGAGGGGCCCTGAAGCTGCTCGAGGCAGCGAGTCGTCCCCAATGTCAGCTGCTGCATCTCTGGGCGGCCCGGTGGAAGAGCTGCCGGGCAAAGCATCCACCCGGACACCCCACGGCCTCCACCGAGGAGGGAGAGCGGACACGGGGAGGCCGGACGGGCGTCAGTTCCGACCCAGTTCCCAGGCCAGCCCTGGAGACCCTTTAGCCCTCCCATGCTCTCTTGCAGGCTGCGACAGTGACCACTGGGGACCCCACTGCAGCAACCGGTGCCAGTGCCAGAACGGAGCCCTGTGCAACCCCATCACCGGGGCCTGCGTGTGCGCCGCCGGCTTCCGCGGGTGGCGCTGCGAGGAGCTCTGCGCTCCTGGCACCCACGGCAAGGGCTGCCAGCTGCAGTGCCAGTGTCACCATGGCGCCAGCTGCGACCCCCGCACCGGCGAGTGCCTCTGCGCGCCCGGCTACACCGGTGTCTAGTGAGTACCGCGGGGGCGGGGCCGGATGGGGCGTGGTTACGGGCGGGCAGGGGGGCGGGGCGTGGTTAAGGGTGGGGCGGGTCTGGGTGGGTGGCCGTTGAAGGGCGGGGTTGGAGAAAGGGTGGTCGGGGAGATCAGGGATGGGGCGGGGAAGGGGCGGGGCCTATCCAGCTGTGGTCCTTTAGTTCCCTTCGTGAGTTCCTAGAGCAAGGGAGGGTGGCGGGAGCAGAAGGAAGTTCTGGGTGGTCCGGGCTGTGACACAAGCACTCTGATCCCAAGTCCAGCAGAGTCTCGTCCATGTGGGATCTCAGGCCCTGCAGTAACTGGTCCCGCCAGCAGAGGGGCTCATTAAACACCTCCGGGGGGCCTTCCTGGTGACACCCCCACCCCACCCCAAGTGAGCCTGGATTTCTCTTGCCTCATGCCCCTAGGCACCTCCCTTGTGGGCTAGGGAGGTGGTGAGAGCCCAGGACGTATATCATGCAGATTGGCACGTTTACTGTGCCTGTTCTTTCCTTTCTGTCCTCGGAACCCACCAGCCCCTCACCCCAGCTCCCTGGAGAGTCCCCACTGACCAGGCCTCTGAGGCCGCTCAGTTGAGACCCTCTCCTGGGCGAATTTGAAAGGGTCTGTGGCCTCTCCTACAGCCCAGATCCCGCAGGGATATCCTGGATGGAGGGCGTCCCCTCCCTAGTGCCCACTCCCAGGATCCTTTGAGCTGGAGGCCAGGCCATTGGGAGAAGACCCAGGCTAAGATCCCATGAGCACCTTCCTAGCGCGGGTAGAGACAAAGGAGCCAAGTCACTCCCTTCCCTCCTTCAACTGTAAGCGCCATAACACCCTAAGGATTGCCTGGGTTTAAATTTAGGACCACCCTATTGATTACCCAGGTTTAAGCCTAGGAGGTCCTGAAGACTGCTGACATCAGAGAGAGCCAGACAGTGGGAGACGCCTTGGAGGAAGCCTGAATTATCGAACTCCTTTTTTTTTCCTTCACACTTGAGTCCCTTGATCCTTTTTTCCCTTCATCCTTCTCCCTGTTCCTGCTGCCATCCTGTGATCTTCAATAAATCTAGCTACTTACTACATACTATGAGGTGTATGCTTGGCAAGTCTTTCCTTGTCGTACACAAGAACCTGGACTATTTTGGGCCCACTCCACTGTAACACTTCCACCCACAGTATCAGGGGGCCGGCCAGAGGCTGGAAGTGACAAGCCCTAGAGTGGCCTCTCTTCACACTGGAACACAAGTCATCCCACAGTAATTTGGCCCAAGCACGGTGCATGCCAATGTATTACACCTGGGCCCTGCTGCCCCCTCCTGGCAGGGGCTGGGCTGCATCTCAGCGGATCAGTGACACAGTGATTCCTAGGGAGCCCTGGCATGTTGGGGCACCGTCTGAATGCTGCTGTACCTAATACCGCTGCTTCTCCCTGCAGCTGTGAGGAGCTGTGCCCCCCTGGGAGCCATGGTGCTCATTGTGAGCTGCGCTGCCCCTGCCAGAATGGGGGCACCTGCCACCACATCACTGGCGAGTGTGCCTGCCCTCCAGGATGGACGGTAGGTGACTCCCCCGGGTCTGGGTGGAGCTTTGCAGGAGATCTAAGCCTCCCTCATACATGCCTTGATGGGCTAAGCTCTTCTCCCACCTTGAGTACCCACCCCACTTATGGTCCCAAGCCATGCTTGGTGCTGTGGACCCAGCTTTGAATCCCAGGCCTTCCATCTAAGTGCTGTGTGACCTCAGGCAAATTACTTAACAGAGCTGGTGTAACACAGTAAGGTGGCCATGGCTGTGGGATCCTCAGCGGAGACCACGTGTGTCCCAAGGAACTGATGCAGGCTACAATGTTTGGGTTTTTTTGTTTTATTTCTGGTACTGGGGATTGAACCCAGGGCCTCTGGGCTGAACTATATCGCAGCAATTTTTACCTTTTGTTTTGAGACAGGGCCTTACTAAGTCACCCAGGCTGGGCTTGAATTTAATGATCCTCTTGTCTCAGCCTCCCAGAGTGTTGGGATTACAGGCGTCCCCCAGGCTTACAATTGCTTATTTTATGCCCTGGATGCACAGACTCCCCACAAGCCTCCTTTCAGCCATCTGCCTCCATCTGCCAGCGCCTCTTGGACAGCCCCATCCTGGAGCTGCAAGGCCGCTGATCAGGCTTTCCTGGGGTGCACCCTGCCTCTGTGTACCCAGCCACATGACCCACTTCGGGGGAACTCAGTGGCACCAGGGCTGCCTCCCCCCTGGGGCTGAGGCCAGAGCTGCTGGGCAGAAGCAGGCTATTTCAGAGGGCTGTGGGCACAGGGGTCACTGAGGCAGCAGGAGTGGGCCCAGCTGCAGGCATGGTGGGACATTTCAGAGCAGGAAAGGACTTTTTGGAGCAGCCTATCCAGCAGGACCAGACTCTGCTACACAGCAGGAGGGGGCCAGCAGGTTAGGATCTGCATTTGCAAATAATCCATCAAGACTCTAAGGTCTCCTTCCACCTTCGACCAATGCTTTGGGTTCTCAGGGGTGAGGATGTGGCTGGCAGTCTAATAATTAAGACTCTGGCTCCCACACCACCCCCACTTCTCCATCTTAATTAATGTTGTCTATTGAGGCTCTAGCTAAGAGTTCACCTGAAACAGCCTCTCCCTAGTCAGGCATGGTGGTGCACACCTATGATCCCAGCCCTTGGGAGGCTGAAACAGGAAGATCACTCTGAGTTCCAGGCTGGCCTGGGCTGTGTGTAGTGAGTTCAAGGACAGCCTGAACTAAATAGCAAGACCATGCCTCAAAAAAGCAAATGAACAAACAAAACAAGCCTTCCGTAGTTTGAAGAGGGTTGAACACCATAAATCTGTTCATACCTTCGTCTCTCAGAAGAGGAAGTTGAAGTCAGGCAGGACTAGTGACCTGCCCAAGGTAGAGCTAGAATCTGGGTCTCCTTTGAGACCCCTTTGAATCTATCTCCTTTGAGAAGCATAAAGGGATTGATGTCACTTCTCCCAGCCCTGCTGGTCCCCTCCCTGCCCAACTGCTCTCTGGAGAGGCCCTTGCTCTCCAGCCAGGCTCCAGAGGTGGGAGGCAAGTGGGGGAAGGGCAGCTGCAGCAGCCTGGTCCTTCTGAGGCTTAGAGCAGCCCTGCAGCCCGCGGTGGGGGAGGGGAGGCAGCCAGCACATGGAAGCATTTTTTTTTCTGTTCCCTAACACAGTGAGAGGTTTGTTCTCCCAGATGACAGGAAACTCTGTCAATAGAAAACTTTGGATTTGAGGACTTTATGTTTTTAATTTTATTGCAGACAATTGCATTTCTATTTTTGACCTAGCATTTAACTTGCAGATTTGGATGAATTATTAATACCCCTCAAGCATTCAGAGACACAGGGTAATGAAGCTGCAGCTTGGGCCTGAGGCTCCAGCCAGGGAGAGCTGGGGCAAAGCGGAGGACCTGGGGAGAGGGGTCCCCGTTACCATCTTCTATCACGATCATTTACATTGTCTAACTTTCCTGTTGGGCCTCATGTGGCCCCAGCCCCACGTTGTCCCACTCAGAGACCTAGGAAATAAGATTGCTCACTCACACCGTGTGACTCCCCAAGGCCTGGGATGCTGCAGAGCTGGAGAGCAGCTGTCAGGAGCACCAGCCCTGCAGGTCACCAGCCCTGAGAATGCCACGGCACATGCCACATGCCAGGCTGCCTTAAGCTCTTTCTAGGGGTGCCCTTTGCAAAGAGCCTGGGAATTCTTTTCCCTCTTTTTTCTGCAAAGCACAAAGCCCAGCTGGGAATAGTTTGGCGAGAGTGGGCACTGGAGACAGGAGGGAAGGTAGAAAGGAATATGGTTGCCCCCTCAGGAGTTCCCAGTCTGATGGTGGAGGCTCAGTGGCATGTGCACATGTGTATGCACACACATATGTACACAGCCACACAGAGTACACCATGGTGATCCCATTAGTATCCTAGTTGCAGATGCTTAGGTTTGGGGAGCATCACTGTGGCGATCATGGCCAGGCCTGCGGTCACAATCACCTCCACCTATGCCAGCCCCTGTCCACTGAGGGCCCCTGCCATCCAGTGATAGCAGCCATCAGTGGAATACTTTCCGATGCTTGGAGAGGCTGAGCTGTCTCCAGCAGAACTGGCATGGCCCCAGGTCCTTTTGCCATCTTGGCTCCTTCCTTTTCTTACCTTCCATTTGGCCATGGGCAAACGTCCCTGTGTACAGAGCGAAGTGCCGCAGACCAGGAGGCACAGAGAGCAGGAATTGTTTCCTTGCGGTGCTGGAGGCTAAAGCCTGAGACCGAGGTGTCAGCAGGGCTGATGTCTTCTGAGGCTTCTGTCTTCGGCTTGGAGGTGGCTGTCATCTGTGTCCTCATATGGTCTTCTGGGTGTTTATCTCAACCTCCTCTTCCTGTAAGGACGGAGTGAGATTGAATTGGGGCCTGCCCCTAAGACCCTCTTCTGCCTCCCTCACCTCTGTGAAGGTGCTGCCTCCAACACAGTTCCATGCTCGTGGAGTTAGGGATTCAACATGGGAATTGTGAGGAGATGCACTTCAGCCCGTCACAGCAGGCGATGTGCTGTCACATGGTTGTCCCTACTCTTCGAGTCCCAGGACATACTGGGCTCCTATGCATGCTGCTTTGTCTGTGTCAGCTCATTAATATTCATGAAGTACCCACTCAGTGCTGTAGCAGGTTCCTTCACATCTCTAATCTCAGTTCATCTTGACAGCCATTTGGGGGGCCAGGGGCTGTCATTCCCATTCTACAGATGAGAAAACTGAGTTCCCAAATGGCCCTGTGATTATGCTAGCTCAGCCATCTTGGATTTGAGCCTGAGTCCTGTCTTTGAGTCCATTGTTCTACTCACCACACAAAGCAATAAGACTGGTATGGAATCAAACTCTTTCAGGCCCAGGAGCTCAAACCAGAGAGATCTAGAGCTTTGTGGACCCTGGGTGCCTGCATTTTGGGAATCCCGAGTGGGGAGTTATAAAGGAACTGGTAGGAAACATTCTGTACGCCACACGCCCCAAGGTCATGGGACTTGAGGGGAAATGACCCTCAACTCCAAACACGCTGCTCTCTTTCTCCTGGCTGCTGCCTCTGCCTCTCCACCCTCCCTTCTCGACCCCTTCCCCTCTCTCGGAGCCTCTCTGTCTGGCATCTGTCTGCCTAATTCGTCACAACTCAATTAGATGGTTGGGAAGGATGACTCTGGCCTGACCGGCTTCTCCAGACTCCACTCGCTTCATTAGGGTTGATGATTATTGGAGCTTAAAAATTATGTGTTGAACTAATTGGTGAATTAATTAGAGGATCATCCTTGATTTCCGTAGGAGAAATGATTATTTCTGGTGTGTGAGAGGCTGGAGGGGCATTGGAGACAAGAGCAGGCTCAGATGTCTGCTTGGTAAGGCCCTAAGATTGATTGATACAGGTCTGAAGTCATATCGTACCACAAGGCTAATACTGGAGAGAAGGAGAAAGAGAAAAAGAGTCCTCGGCCTTACTCCCAAGTCCCTGTAGGCAAACACTTTCAAATGTTTTAGATGGTTCTTCTGGCATGTCTCTCCATTTTTCTACATAACATGCTTTACTGTCACTTCCTGCCTCTTTCACTTTAGACATTTGTTGATTCTATTGACTTCCTGCCGGAGAATAAGACATAGCCCCACCATACACACATGTGTGAACACAAGGAATCCTTCTCCCACCCTCCCCATATGGAACTGTATTATAATTTTTGGTTGAATCATTTTTAATGTTTTTGTTAATATGCCCTTTTACTTAATATGTGTTGTTACTGATTTATTCCTATAACTCTGGACAGAAATCTAAACTTCCTCTCAGTGAGGTCAGCACATCAGAAATTTTTCAATTAGTTTTTGCTTTTGTTTTGTCTTTGAGGCAGTGCTCTCAGAAGCCTACATGCTTCTGTTCTGATTTGAACTCTTTGCTTTCCGGGTCTGCTGTGTGGTTATCATCTGAAATTTTCTCCCACTAACATTGTGAGATTTCCTTTACTTCTCTCTTCTGATGGATTCCTTAGTCCCTGGAACCCAGGCCTTCTTTTTCTTGAATAATTTTTTTGGTAGGAAAAAGTCCACTATTCCCTATCCAAGAAATACCCATAGAAAGTTAATTTCTTGAGGTTGTTCAAATCTGAAAATGCCTGTATCTCACCCCCACTTGGGTGTTAGTTTAGCTGGGTATAGAATTCTAAATTGGAAATGGTTTTTAAGGCATTGCACCATTGTCTTCTAATTTCTCATTAAGGAGTCTAAGAACTTTGGGGTCTTGATTTTTGTATGTGACTATTTTTCTCTTTCTAAAAGCTTTGAGGATCATTTCCTTAGACAGCTTTCTCATCACTGAGACATAATACCCAACACCCATGACTTAAAGGTGGCAAGGTTTAGTTTGCTCATGGTTTCATTCCATGGTCCACTGGCTCCAAAGCAGAGACATCATGGTGGAAGGGTGCAGGGAGGCAAAGCTGTTTGGTTCATGGTGTCAAGGAAGCAGAGCCAGGGAGGAGTGCCAGGGAAGAAGGAAGGGGCAAAGACTAGACGTAGGCCTCAAGGCCCACCTCCATGGCCCACCCAAACACACCTAGAAGTATGCTTTCATAATCAAATTGAAAATACCCTAACCACCACACATACCTTAAATAGGTCTCTTCTTTTCCCTTTTATTCTTTTCCTCTTTCCCCTTTTTTCCTTTTTCCCTCCTTCCCTCCCCATCCTTCCCTCCTTTTTCTTTTTTTCTCTAGCTGAATATTCTGTAGGTCCTTTCTGTTCAGAAATCCAGGCTTTCCATCCTTTCATTCTGGGACATGTTTTTTGATTATATTTCCCATTTAATTTACCCACTTCCATTTTCCTCTGTTCCGCGGTCTAGAACGCCGGTTAACTAGATATCAGAACAGCTGGACTGGTCCTCTAATTTTATTATATTTTCTCTACTATAATCAGTTTTTCTCTCCCTCTCTCTTTCTGCTTCATAAGAAATTTATTACATTTTACTTATAGTTCTTCTATTGGAATTTTAAAATATCTGCTATCTTATTTTTAGTTTTTAAGAACTCTTTTCTCATCTCTGGATACCCCATTTTAAGCACCTTGTTCTTTCATGGATGAAATATTTTCCTATAACTAGCTACCTGAGGATAATGATGATGGAGTTGTTATTATTTCATTATTAATTATGACAAAGGGTTGTTCCTTTTCTGCTAAGTGTTCTTTGCTTCTGGCATAGTTCCTGTTTCCTCTGTGTCCCTTTGTCGATTTCAGTCTTCATCTTGCATGTGACATCCAATTCCGAATGGCTTACGATCTTTGGCCTTCTGTTCATGTGTCACAGTGATGCTCAGAGAAGCCAGCGGAAAGCCTTTGGGTAGAGAGCAATGCCAGGCTTCCTGATGGATGGCACCCACAACTGGGCTCATCAGTGTGCCCCAAAAGGGATTCTCCAGCCTCCTGCCACAGGGAGTGTAGTCTGCTTTGTGGGGGCCAAGCACGGAGGGGGGCAGATGGGATTCCACCCCCACCCTCAGCATTGTCCCTGCATCCAAAGCCTATGTGCTCAACCTCACCACAAGGCATGGGAAGTCCCCTGGCTTTGGGAATTTGGAACAGAGGTCAAGGGTCTAGTTTCTTGTTTTACAACCTTCGGACCGTCCTGTTTTCACCACAGCCACCCCTTGGCCTCCAGAGGACGCCAGTGTGCCCCAGTCCTGAGCTTCTCTGAGGCTAAAAATGTCGCTTCCTGAGCAGAACCAGGAAGGCACCTTGGGTCACACACACTGGTGTGAGCCCCACTCCTCTCCACCCCTTCCCCAAAGCCAGCTATCGTGAGAGCAGAAGGGCAAAAAAAGTGCCTTCCTGGTTCTGCTCAGCTCGCTAGCTCCGGTGCAGGAGCACCGTGTCTTGTGCTTTATTTTATCTAGCTGTGTTCCTGGCGCTCTCCCCAGTAGGCAGGGAGGATAGGAATCAAGTCCTACTCATTTCTGTACCCTCGTATCTGACCCAGCACCTGGTACCTAGACAATAGGCATGCACTAAGGGTGCACGAAATGATTGCGTGGGCAAACTGGCCTCCACATCTGCATCTCTACGATGAGGGCTTTGGGACCATGCTGTCCAGCTCTCTGTGTCCACTGGGGAGATGCAGTGATCCCTGGAGCCCTTGCAGCTGTGCCATTGCTAGGAGCGTGGGGACTCAGTGCGGCATCACTGAGCACCACCATGGGTGTCTTCCTGCATCTGTTTCAGGGAGCAGTGTGTGCCCAGCCCTGTCCACCAGGGACATTTGGCCAGAACTGCAGCCACGACTGTCCTTGCCACCATGGAGGACAGTGTGACCATGTGACTGGACAGTGCCACTGCACAGCTGGATACATGGGGGACAGGTAAGGATGGTGGATTCAGACAGGGAGGAGGGCGATTGTGCATGGAACCTGGGCCAAGTGTCCTCACTGTCACTATTTGCCACCTGGCTCTCTCTGAGCATGAGCAAGGAGGAGGCTGCCACACTCCTTGTCTGGGTCCATGTTTTACTTCTGGCTCCTGGGTTTTGTTACTTGGCCCAGACAGAGTGAAAGGAAAGGAACACTGTTTGCCATCCTTCTGCCTCCCCTACCTGGTGACATCAGGAAGCAGGGATCAAGGCTAAGTCAACCAATGAGTCTTCCTAGCTCTGACTAAGAAAATCAAGGCTCCTGTCACTCAAATCAGCCCCAGTCCTTAGTGACATTCAGAGAAACGATGAACCATGAGCTTTGGCCTGCAGCCTTTTTTTTCCTTCGGTACCAGGGGTCGAACTCGGGTCCTTGCGCTTGCGAGGCAGGCGGCAGAACCAATAAGCTAAATCTCCAGCTGCCCTGCAGTCTTATAGGCCAGATATGATCTCTTTCCCAGCTCAGAGCATGGGGTGCAGTGTAGGGGGATCAGGACTGAAGCAATGAGCCCAACCTCCCATCCGCACTCTCTGCCGCATATATGGAAATGCTCCAGATAGGGCAGTGGGAACCAGAACCAGGAAGACCTAAGACTAGAACAGGACCCCTGTTTACTTCCTTGTTGGAAACCAGCTTCCCAGGGCTGCAGCCAGCTAGGCCTAAACCTATAGACCCTACTGCAGTGGTGGCAAGACTGCAGCCTGCATGACACAGCATGCTGTTTGTACTATGGAAAGCTCTGCTATTGTGTTTTTCTTTTAATGTATCAGGTTTTTGGTTTTTTTTTTTCTAAACTAAAACCTTAGTATTCAGGTTTAATTGCAGTGTTGGCACCTTGTGATAAATAAGTGTGTTTTGGGTTGCAGTTTGGGCTCTCAGTCCCTAAAAGGCTCGCCATCTCTGCACTACTCCATCAGCCATCAGCATGCACTGCTGAGATGAACTAAATGAGAAATAGTCCAGAATCTTTCTTCTTGGAGCCTGGACCAAGCTCCTGGGGCAGAGAGAAACCCCCAAAGCCAATGGGTGCACTCCAGCAAGCTTGACCAATCAACCATAGGGTTCAAAAAGAGGGCCAGGTAGCATTTCAGTTTCCCACCTAAGCAGGCCACCTGGTGTTTAATATTTTGTAAAATTGCCTCCATTAATTTCATAGGTGACAGCTGCATTAAGCCACCCCAAATCATCATGAGCATATTAGAGTTGAGCGGGTGTAATAATGCGAGCCTCCCTGGATAGGCAGAAACCAGTGCAAATTAAACACAAAACATAACGAGGGCTTTGCAGCTCATTTTGTAATTTAATTGAGCAATGTATCTGGTTGTTAATGGCAATATCAGACACATTAGATTGATATGTTACAAAGGACGGATGTTTAAGTAGAAAACTAATTCCTGCTGTGATTACCCTTCTGTTCCACAGGCCCGGTTATTAGCATGCTTTGTGTAAAATTCATTAGCAGTCATTGCTTGATCTCTAAATAAATAAGTTGTTTCAGTTGTGAGTAGGAAAAAAAATTAAAAGAAGCTGATTATGTAAATGGATTAGGTTGTCAATATCTCTAGAAGTTTTTTTCCCGAGGCTGTGGATTCAATCACCCCCAAAATATGGCAGAGTGGAGAATTAGCCTCTCAGGGAACTCTGTGTGCAGGGTAGGAGGCAGGAATGTTTGAAAAAAGGAGAGAAGGCTTGGGGCGGTGTCTCCTGGTGTGGGTTCTCTCCCGACTTTGAGACATCTGAGGTTCGTACAGCCCTGTGACTTCCAGAGAAATCTGTTAGCAGGGACAAGGGTCCATTTAGATAGGGATTATATAGGTTTATAACTGCTCTTGATCTCCCTCTTCTGCCTCAGTTTCCCTCTTTCCCACTCCATCCTACTACTTCCTCGTTCCTGTCTTCCACCATCCATCCTTCTCCAGACATCCCTTTCCTTTTTTCCCTTCTTCCCTCTCTTTTCCACTCTTCCCCTTTATGAGGCCTCACATTGGTTGAGAGCAGCAGGACTGACAGGAAGATGGTCTGGGGTCACCTTGGCCAATCGCAGGCTGTGTGAGCCTGGAACAGCCCCATGGCCTGTCAGCCTCCTCACCTCCAAAGTGAGGGCGGCGGGAATGCTTGCTGCTTCAGGGGCTGGGGCCAGTGGCTGGGGACACTGCAGCCTGTACAGCTGACTAGAGGTCTTTCTTTAGCCAGCGCCCAGGGCTGTTGGGATCATGGCCCCGCTGCCCTTTCTTCTGCCAGATTCCTCCTCTGCCATGGCAACTCTGGAGGGGACAGCTGGTGGCATTTTGCTATGAGGGACGCACTCAAGGCCAGACCCCAGTCACTGTCCTCCGTGGAACCACTGAGCTAAATCCCCTGCCCAGAACTGGATTTTTAACGAAACATCTTTCGGCTGCAGATTTAGCTCAGTGGTTCTGCTGCCTGCCTTGCAAGGGCAAAGACCGGAGTTCGATCCCTGGTACCAAAAAAAAAAAAAAAAAGAAAAGAAACATCTTTTATTACCCCTCATTACTATAGAAGATAAACAGAACACCTGGGAAATGGGAAAATATGATAACGAACGTGCTTATAATTCCTCAAGCCCACGCCACTGTTAACATTTTAGAATTCTTCCCTTTGAGCTTTCCCATGCCAGAATCCAAGGTTCAGCAGGTCTGATGAGCTCTGTTTTAAGAACCGGAGAAAACAGTATTAATAAGAATAATAACGACTAACATTTCTTGAGCCCTAACCATGGGCTGGGCGCCTTTCTAAACACTTACACACATTAGCTCATTTAATCCTCAAACAACCCAATAAGGTTTAGTTATTATTGCCTTTTAGGATAAGGTGTGGAAGTCACAGTTTAGGTCAGTTCCCCATTATCCCAAGCATTGGGGTGCGGATAATCCAAAACCCCAGAGGCCATTTCCTTCCTTGTTTGGGTTGCACGAGGTCCCCCGGGTTTACCCCTTACCTTGTCAGGATCACTTGCTGTGACAGTGGATTTGGAGCCCCTGGGAAATGGCCCTCGGCGGGGCCAGGGATCAGCAAAGCAGTCACAGTGGGAGTCCCAGTAGCCCACAGAGGATCCACACAAATGACTGTAAGTCCAGTCCAGTGAAGTTAAATAATTATCACTGTGCTCTAAGTACCAGCCTGAGCACAGGCAGGACACAGATGGGGGCAGCCCTCCTCCTTGGGGGGCTCACAGGCTAGAGGGGAGTTCCAGCCCCACCTTGAGGAAGGGGAACTAGCTCCTGTCGCTGGGGTTCCCTGGTCTGATGAGGAAGGATCCTACCCTGAGGGAGGGGATGCTTCACTGTGACTGAGACTTAGGTCTGTCCCAAAGGCACCATACCGGAGTGTCTAGAGATGAAATTGTCCCATTTCATCAAACCTAGGATGACACTGATTGTAAGGTGCATCACTATTTTTTATACTGCTAAAAATGAAAAACACTAATAGTTAAATCCTGTCATGCCATCAGGAATAAGACGCATCTCATTTCAGAGATGTCGAAACATATTTTTTTTAAACCAAAGGTTTATCGTTAATGGATCCAGAGTTTCAGTTGTTAAAGATGAAAAGGTTCTGGAGATGAAGGGTGGTAATAGTTGCATAGCAATGTGAATATATTTCCTGTGAAGCTACTGAGCAGTGTGCTTAATGGTGAGATGGTAAATTTTATATCACCAGATATTTTTACCATACCCATTTATATTGTCCTAGTCTGTTGGTATCACGGTGACCACAGACCTGAGGTCAGATGTTGTCATTTAAAACACACTTCTCCGGTTCTCAGAGTTCTAGAGCCTGAGGAGGCCAAGGTGCCAGCAGGTTGGTGACTTGGGGAGAAACTGTTGTTTCCCAGATGGCACCTTGGACCCTGCGTCCTCGTGTGATAGGAGGGACAGAAGGAAAGAGAAAGGGGCCTGGCCAGGTCCCTCCAGCCCTTGCACAAGAGCACTGAGCCACTCATGAGGGGAGAACCCTCATGACCTAATCATCCCCCATACCAGCATCTCTTTGTTTTGTTTTTGGTACCGAGGATCGAACTCGGGTCCTTGCACTTGCAAGGCAGGCGGTGGAACCACTAAGCTAAATCGGCCCCAGCATTTCTTGATACTGTTCCACCGGGGGCACCATAGCACGTGTATTTTGCAATTTTTTTTTTTTTGGTACTGGGGATCGAACTTGAGACCTTCCGCTTGCGAGGCAGGCAGTGGAACCACTGAACTAAATCCCCGGCCCTATTTTACAATTTTTAAAAATGAAAATGTATGCATCGGGTTTGGCATCAGTGAAATATTGCACAAACTCACTGCTGGGGGTCCTGGGATTTGGATGAGGGCTGAGCTATGCCAGGTACACTTCCTGGGGGAGGAGAAGGGAAAGGAGAGGAGGGGTCCCAGCCACCGCTCAGCCCCCTCTGCTCTCCCACAGGTGCCAAGAGGAGTGCTCCTTGGGGACCTTCGGCTTCCAGTGCTCGCAGCGCTGTGACTGCCACAACGGAGGCCAGTGTTCGCCCACCACGGGCGCCTGCCAGTGCGGCCCTGGGTACAAGGGCCCGAGCTGCCAGGAGCGGCTGTGTCCCGAGGGCCTGTATGGCCCAGGCTGCTCCTTGCCCTGCCCCTGTGACAGTGACAACACCATAAGGTACTGGCTGGGGTTGGGGAATGGGGAGCAAGGTGGCTGGGTGGAGAGCAGGTTCTCGGGCCACAGCCACCCAGGGAGGACAGAAAGCTCAGAGCCCTCAGTCCCTGTCATTGCTTTGATGAAAGGGAGAAGCCAACGGGAGTGTCAGAGTCAGGGCTAGATGCCAGGCCGCCTGTGCTGTCCACTGCCCTGGCTGCTCCCGTGTCACACTGGGCCTGAGACCCCACACAGGAGCAGGGAGGGAGCTCGGGACCCACAGGGTGTGGGGCAGCCCTGGTGCTCTGTCCTTCTCATCCTTGATGTCTGATCAGAGACCCGGACACCGGGGCCAACATAGGAGCTTGAACCACAGGGCCCTGAGGATGGTTGTCCAGCACCCCCGACAAGGCGGAGGCACGGGGGACAGAAGTGAATCCTTCACAGGGACTTGGCAGTGGCTGTTGCTGGCACAGCCTGGACTTCACCTCAGCCCCTCTTCCTTCCCAGTTTTTGATCTTTCACAGATCACCTTGGGGTCTCCAGACACTGTGAGCAAAGTGGTCTTAGCAGGTATCGTGGCTTAGACAGAAATGGTCCTGAGGCCTGGCGCTGAGCAGCTGGGGTGGTACGAGGTAGGGTCAGCAGTTGGGACTGTCCAGAGAGGCCCCTGAACCTGCATATGACCTGCACACTCATCCACTTGACCACCTGCTACCAGGATCCCAGCCACCACCAGTAGTGAGGCACAGCACTATTTTACATCCTATGAAGAAAAGAAAATTCTGTTAGCAGAACCATGGCATATCATGAATTGTATAATGCACCCATTATCAGAGGTATGCAAATGTGGGGGAGAAAGGCATTGTAGAGTGGATGAAATATATGTGGGCAGCTCTGCTGGGCCCCAACACATACCTGGGTAACTGTGGCCCAGGGCTGCGTGCAGGAAGGACCAGAAGAGACTGCAGGGAAGGCTTCCTGGAGGAGGAAGTGTCTGGGCTGGGTTGGAGGCAGGGTGAGAACTCCATGGTTCTAAATATGGGGGACCCCTGGTCAGGGGACAGGCAGCTGCTTCCCACCGCTCTGGGCCAGAGGACAGTGCCACGGAATAGGAGGACGGACCCTGTAGAGACAGCACGAAAGACTGCAGCTGGGAGAGTCTCTGCCTTGGAGATCCGAGCAGGCCTCACATGGAAGAGCTCTTGTTTTCCTCCTGTGCCTGAGCAGCCATGCCCTGCATAATTCATCTTCTCTCTGAAGGAGTCCTCAATGCATTATTAATCTGGAAGGACTCCCTGTTCTCCGTCGCTAATCTCAGCCCATCCAGTATTAATGATTATTTGCTTTACTGCCTTTAACGCATGTTGTGTTTCGGGGACAGCGAGGGAGTAGCAGTTCTCAGGTGCTGGGCTTCACGGGTGCCAGCCAGTCCGTCCCAGGCAGGCTGCTCGAATGTGCATGATCACCTTGGGAGCGCTGTCCTGGGCCTGGATCCCATCTGATCCCTTTGCGCACCTGTCTCAGCATTGCAGGGCCTGGCACAGAGCAGGCCTTCCTTCAGGGAAAAGCATTGCTGAGTTCCTGTTAAGCAGCCCGTTCTCTAGGCGCTTCTGCCTGCTAGCTGATGCCTGCCCTAGTTTTGCTGTTTTAATATTTCACCCCTTTCTCCTGACACACTGCCCCAGTGACTGAGTCCCCGGCACTTACCCAGTTCTCCCTTCAGTCTGGCTCAGGCTTTCTCGGCCTTGCCACTGTTCCCATCTGGGGCAGAATAGCCATTAGTTGCAGAGGGCTGCCCTGGACACTGCAGGATGCAGGTAATAGCTCCTTTCCACACCCAAGTGCTGGCACCAACAGTGTTTCTGGTTCTTGTTAGTGTGCAGATGGGGGGAGGGGAGGGGCAACAGAGGTGGAGATCCTGTGGTCTGACTGGGCCCTCCCGTGCTGCACTGGGCATTGTTCTGTAGAACCCAGAGAGCAGCTCTCTTCCTGGGTGATTGGGCCTCTCTTCCCATGAGCCTTTGAGCCACTACAGAGCCTTCTCTCAGGATCCAAGGACAGCAAAGAGGATGCCACACCCAGAAGCAGTTAGGCTGCAGGTCCTGGCTGTGGGCCTGGCCCCAGGCTTCCCTCTGTCCACACTAACGTCCTGTTACACAAGCTCCTCCTCCCTCTGCCCATTCCCCAGTCTGTCAATCCCTTTTCATCAACCCAGTGGGGGAAATTGCTCTTGCGGTTTTTCAAAATGAAGCTTCCACTCAGCTCCCCAAGAGAGAAATGAGCTCACATACCCCCGATTTCTGCAGAACTTAGAACCGAGCTCCCTTCCCCCGTGGCTTGCAAGTCTGGACTGTGTTTCCCAGCAAGACAGTGGCCTCAGCCGGAGAGAGGCCTCTGCACCCTGCCCCGCCTCTTGGCTCCTGTCCCCTGCTGTCCCCACCTGGCTAGGCTGCTTTGCCTGGGAAGGAGAAGGTGACCGGTGAGCTCCTGGCACTTCAGACCTCCATCACCTCCTCACAGTGCACACAGAGAAGCCATCTTGCTTCATAAAGGACCAACCTTGAGCACACGCGCCTGCTGTCAGGCCTTTTCAGTGTCCCCTCCACGACTGGATTGTCATAGATGAATTCCAGCCGCCATGATCTAGCATTACGTTTGAAGGGTTTGATTTAGCCAGCAGATGCCGCGTTGATAGAAATCTCAGAATGGCCAAAAGAGAGGGAGAAAAATCCACTCTGAAAAGATTCCTGCATGGTTCGGTTTTTGGCTCCTATTACCTTGTGATTAATCTGTCTGCAGAGGTGGGAGAAATGAGGAGGCAGAGGGAACCTGAGCGGCCTAAACATTGGTGATTGTGCTGCTTGTCTGAGTCTCAGCAGCAGTGCCTGGCCTGCTGTGTGACCCCAGGGACCAGGACCCCCACTGGGAGGAGGGTACACCTGGGAGCGGGGTGTGCTGTTGCCTCTGTTGAGTTCAAAGGTGCTAAGCAGAGTGACCACAGTTCTCGGTGACAGTTACTGTCAGCCACCACTCCCAGCCTCTTTTCTTTTAGGTTTTTTGAGACAGGATCTTGCTGTGTAGTTTAGGCTGGGCTTGAACTTTCAGTGATCCTCCTGCATCAGCCTCCCAGGTGCTGGGATTACAGGCGTGTGCCCCCACACTCAGTTTCAGATTTGGTTGTGAGCCTTCCAGTTCTCAGAGTGAAAAATACAAGATCAGCACCCAGACCCCCACCCCCACCCCCAGGCAGCCAAACATGGCTTTGGAGAGCAAAAGGAGTAAATTCGAGTTCTCAGGAGTCCGTGTGGCTGGTTTCCCTCAGGGTTGGGCTGCAGCGGGGGAATCCAGCCTGGCCACTCTGGGACAGAGATAGCACCCCTCTCTCTCTCTCTGTCTCTCTCTCTCTCTCTCTCTCTCTCTCTCTCTCTCTCTCTCTGGTGGCAAGAGCAGAAAGGTACCTGCGACCTTAGGCGACTCCCGGGCTGAGCAGAGACAGTTGCAGCCAGGACCTGCCAGGCTGTTCCCGGCCCCTCTAGGCCTAACCCTGAACCCCAGAGGAGGCCCGGCAGAGTGGGGCCCGGAGAGGCTGAGCCTAGGGCCTTGGCTCAGAGTGTGGGGCACGAGGAGGGCCTCAGAGCCACTGCTGAGGGCCAGGGACACCAAGTGGGCCCTGCCCCATGGCACCTGCGCACGTCACTCTGTCCCCTTAAGGTACTCGGGGCTCAGGGAGGGATTCTCAACATCTGTGACGGTCAGAGAGTTTCCAACAGTCATCTTCACACCCGTCCTTCTTTGCTGGGTATTTATAATTTTTATTGCTTCACATCTATTTATTAATGTAATATAGATGCTTAGCGTGGGAAAGTTAGAATATAAAAACATTTAAAGAAAAACCTCAGAGTCACTCATAATTTCTCAACCCCCAGTAAACACAAAAGTCATTTCGTTGTAATCTGTTTGTTCTTCATCCACGTCTATGTTTATATCACTTTTTTCATATTTAAGATCATAACTTTGTAATGTGCTTATTTCACTCCACCTTATATCCTATCATTACATATTTTGGAAAATATGGAACACCTCTCGCCAGGCATAATGGCACAGGCCTATAATCTCAGCACTTGGGAGGCTGAGACAGGAGGATTGCCACAAGTTCAAGGTCAGCCTGGGCTACATAATGAGACCCTGTCTTGAAAAAGAAAGAAAGAAAGGAGACAAACCTCTTTAATATTTCTCCATGTGGGTTGTCATAATTCATTTAACCAGCACCCTGTTTTCAGAGGTAGCAAGGGCCAGGAGATAACATGACCCACTGGACCGGGGTTTGAATCCCAGCTCTACCACTCACGAACTATGTGACCTTGGGCAAGTCACATGACCTCCAAATGCCATCTGTAAAATAGAGGCTGAAATTCCTAATTCACACACTTACTGAAGTTTAAAAATATGTGTGTAAAGTGCCTGGTGCTTCAATAGCCTGGTCACATATTATTTATTATTATTCAAATTGCTTCCATTTTCCAGGGTTATAAATAATGCTTCAGGGAACATCTCTGTGCATAAATCTTTCTCCACAACTATGATTATTTCCTTAGGATAGATTCTTAGGAATAGAATTACAAGACCAAAGAGTCTGAATATTTTTGGGTCTTCTGATACATAACCTCAATGACATGTGATTGTAACTGTTTTGAAACCTTTACCAGCATTTTTTTCATCCTTTCTGTTTTGATAAAGACAAAGTGCTCTCCAATTGTTGTTTTGACTTGATGATTAATGAGACAAAACATTTCCCAAAATGATTATTAGCTACTTGCACTTACTATTCTGGAATTGTCTGCTTCTGTCCACCCCCTCGTTTTCTGGGAGAAAATCGAGGCCCCCAGATGAGAAACTGCTTGGCTAGGCTGCACATAATTAGTTTGTTCTTTAATTCATCCACCAAATATGCATGAAGCACCTTCCATGTGCCAGGTCCCCCGCTGGGCCCTGAGAGGCGACCCAGACAGACAGGGGCATCCCCCCAGGGAGCCAAAACCTGGCAGGAGAGATGACAGACAAATCAGCAGACACAGAAAATAATTAAACATCATGGAAGCTGTATTTATTCCCATATTTGTAACTGGGCAGTGAACATGAGCCAAGACCTAGGTGACCTGGAGAGATAAAGCTCCTGTCCCCATGGAACTTAACAGAACCAAGACTGGTCCCAAGTGCTCCCTACCAGCCCAGGGCATGCGTCCCCTGAGCTGGATTCCAGAGCAGGGTGGCAGGGGACACAAAGAGTCTCAGGCTGGTATGTATTATCCCAGCAGCTGCTGCCAAGTGAAAGAGATTTAGCGGGGGAATGGGGAGGCCAGGACAGCTGTTGGGCCACAGTGTCGGCATGATGTGACCCGGCGGCTGGGGGAAAGAAGGAGAGTGGGTGGAAGGGTCTCAGCTCTCAGCAGTCCTAGGAAAGCTTGGCAAGACAGGAAATGGGGCCAAAGGTGGCCATCACAGGAGTCCTGGATCTCTCACTAGTCCCCCAGAAATGTGGCCTCAGAATGTCAGATGCAGCAGCTGGGGCCATAGGTCCATTTCACTTCCTCTGGAGCTCTGAGCGGCAGGCACATGGTCACCACACCCGGTGTGGTCACGAATGGACACGCCTGCTGGAGCAGACCACTGCTGGCCCCAGGCTGTCCCCCACCCGAGATCAGGCCAGGCAGCCCCTGCCTGCAGCCAAATATCCTTCCTGTGGCCCAGACAGATGGCGATGGAGGAGAGCAGGCTCCTGAGAAAGCCTGGCAGGGCACAGGTTGGAGATTTTCTCCAGTTCAGGGGAGGGAGGAGAGACCACATGTCACCTGCTGGGTGTCATTGCTGCCTTCTTGTGTCCGTCCCCATGCTGGGTATCTGCCTTAGGTGGAGGTGGGTGAAGGTCATATGTGGCCTTGGTACTTTCTGATAAACAAACAGGGCAGGGAGCAGTTGAACTGCAGCAGCCCTTTGCTCCTGCTGTCCCAGGCAGACTGGATTTACGGTGGGCAGAAGGTAAGATGTGGCTGCATCCCTGACCAGACTGTCCTCTTGCCTTCTCTTGCCACCTCAGCTGCCACCCAGTAACTGGAGCTTGCTCTTGCCAGCCAGGCTGGGCCGGCCACCACTGCAATGAGTCTTGCCCTGCTGGCTACTACGGGGATGGCTGCCAGCGGCCTTGCTTGTGCCAGAATGGCGCCGACTGTCACAGCATCACGGGGGGCTGCACCTGCGCCCCTGGCTTCATGGTAAGTCGGGAGAAGCCTGCCGTGGCCTCCCTAATCCCTGCCTCCTGGCAAGAAGAGGTGGCCCTGGGCCCCCTTCTTAAAGCTGATCTCCAAGGGTTGGGGGTCTGTAACTGTAAGAATAACAGGCGAGGGAGGGCTCTTCATGGTCCTTCTGCTCTGTGACCCTGGCTGTTCTTTGTCCCTACCATGTCTTTGAGCTCACACTATTTTCACATCAGAATAACTACGGTGCACATAAGCAGCTCTGCACACTGCTTTCCTTCACCTGCATTTCTGTGTTGCCGCTTGGCCTTCTTAATTATCATTTTAAATGACTGCATACCTGCAGGAAGTGATCAACCCTGGGTTCCTCAGCCTAAGCTGTTCCCAGCATTCACGACCAGTGTTGCAGCCAGCGCCTTCATGCAAACAGCTTTCCCCACTCCGCTGAATTATTCCCTTAGGGTAAATCCCCAGGTGGTGGGCAGAAGGCAGAACGTGTTTATGCTCCTGGTGAAGCTGCTGGATCATTCTCCTCAAGGGTCATGTAAATGTACACTGTCACCAGCCATGTAGGAGTGGTACCTACCTCAGAACAATTTTGCTAACATCTTTTTTCCCCTGCTAATTATATAGGTAGAAAATGGCTCCTCGATACTCCTCTAATTTGCATTTCTCTGATTACTAGGGAGAATGAACATTTTCCCTATGTGTTTGTTTACTCCTTGTGTTTCCTCATGAATTATGCTGGTTGTGATGAGGGCTGATTCCGGAGACCTTGACCCTGGAAGTGGAACCCTGTGGGAAGCTGGGCGGTGTCCAGTGGGTCCCTAGGCTTCTGTTTTTTTATTTCGCTAGGGGACATGGTTTGTGCAGCCTCTGGAACCCGATCTGGGTCACACCCTGGCTGTCCTTCCCCGGTGTGAGCTTGGACCAGCGACTTAAGCTTTTCGGCTCTGTTTCCTTACCTGTGAAATGGGACCCTGCCTGTAAGCTTATGTACAGGTGGAGAGAAGGAATGTGTGGATTTGATTTTAGCTGCAGACCTTGTTAGATTGGGGCTTCTGATTGACTAGGGCTGGGCTGGGGCCTGAGGCAGTGCATTCCTGACAAGCTGGGGGGCAGATGCCAGGGGCCCAGGGTCCCCACTGAGTAGGAAGGGGCTTCTAGGTGGGTCTCCTGGGGGCTCCTTGGAGTCTTCAGCGGTGCTGATGTCCTTGGTCTGGAGTGGCCGGGCTGAGGCCAGGGTGCTGGGGAGGCATGGGGCCACCGGCCTAAAGGGAAGCCCTGGTCATGATAATGCTGTGAGGGCTTGGCTGGTGGCATGGTCTTTGGAGGACAGGCTGTAGAGCAGAGCTCAGAATAAAACTCTACTCGACGCCTCTTCCTCCTTCCCAGTCCAGACCGAGCTGGGTGGATATGAACTCTGTTTCTCCTCGAGGCGTCCTCGCTAATGGGCCTGTGTTGCTATGAGATTGGGTCCGTAACTTCCAGAGGAAAATGGAAGCTCCCTAAGTTTGAGGTATAAGGGAGGAGAGAATGGTTGTTTGGGATTAAAAATTTCACATAGCCAAGTGATCAGAGGACTGGAGCTGGGTGGACCAGACTGCAAGTGGGGGCCATCCTGACCACAGCCCCAGCCTAGCTACTTGGGTGGCCTTGTGACCGTGAGCAAGTGGCCTCTCTCCGTGGGGTCCCAGTTCCTTCATACATAAGTGGTGAATGTACAGGGAGGGATGAGCCGACTGATTTCTAAGACAGTCTGTTTCGAGGACTCCATAGACCAAATTGGGACCTACCCCCTTCCAGGAGAATGGGAGGAAGTAGCAGCAGAATGTGTGTACAGTACCACTGGGGAGCAGCTGATTGAGGCGCGCTGTGGTCTGATCCCGCACATCGCTGTGAGTCTCCTGACAGTCTCACCTCCCTGTTCCCTCTTCTCTAGCCTCAGCTAGAGCCCTGGCACCTAATCACTGACCTCAGGAGGAAAAGCGGGGCCCTGGGAGGCCTGGGAAGGCCAGCATCTGTGTCCACTGCCCCCAGCCAGAGCTTCACTAACCTGGAGGCCAGACCACTACCTCCTACCTGGGATGCAAATGACTTCCTGTCCTTGAACTCCTGGAGGTCTGGTGCTTGTCAGAATCACCTCACTGTGGAGTTCTGCCTGCCTGGGGCTCAGGACTAAGAGGGATTGGGAGCCAGGCTGCCCTGGTGAGAGCCCCACACATCCCCATACACATCCTCCTGCCCAGCCTCATTATACCCAGGAAAGCTTTTCCAAGGTCCTGTTGGGTGTTGGGCAGGGGAGGGTCGCTCCTTGTGGTTACAGAGCAGTCAGTTGGTCTCAACCAGTCCAGCAGGTTCTAAAGGGGGAAGGCATTACTCTTGTCCTCTCCTCAATGTGTGTGTGTGTGTGTGTGTGTGTGTGTGTGTGTGTGTATGTGACCGTCCACCGCCAGGGCACACTCCACTGGGCGTCCCCCCAGAGTGTCCCACAGTCAGTAACCATCAGCAGGGCCTTTGTGTGTTGGTTGGCTTGTGAATTTGTCTACTTGTCCATTTCCTGGAAGACTGCAGGAGAGGCAGTTAGTGAAGGATTAATACCCATTTCTAGTATTTGGGGACCTTCCTCTTAGACTCAGTCACTTTAGCCTGCCAGGGCTTGGTTTCCTTATCTATAAGATAAGTGGAGTCAGTCAGTTTGCCTGCTGAGGGTGTGAGTGGCCACGGTGGTATCCTCAGCTGTCTCCTCCCCAGAGCTGTCCCCAGCAGGGCTGTTGGGAGAGAATGTTAGAACAGCTTGATGAAAGGTGACTCTTGGTTTGTTCTGTTTTTTTGGTACTGGGGATCGAACTCAGGACCTTGGGCTCGAGAGGCAGGCGGCGGAACCACTGAGCTAAATCCCTGGCTAAAGGTGACTCTTGGAGGGCTCACCACAAACATGAGCAGTGTTGATGAGCTTTGACGGAAGGAACACCATGGAGCCACACAAATCTGAGTTCAGGTCCTGCCTTTCCAACCCCTACTCTGCCTCCTGTCAAGACACTTACCTGCCAGAGCCTCATGTGTTTGAAGGAGACTTTGCTGTCAGAGTGTGAAACTTCACACAGGCAGTTCACTGCTGGGTCTGAAACACCACAGACACCTGGTAAAACACTGCACTAGGAGGCCAGTGGAGGACACTGCTTCCCCCAAGCCCAGCACCCCTCTCTCCCAAAGAATGTCAGGGTTAGCTGCACGCAGGGTTTCCCAGTGAAACAGAGCTATGGACATACAAGGGATGATTGAAAATACAGTGAATGTTTGTTTTTTGAAACTTTATTACAATAAAAGACATATTGCCATGAATCCCCCTCAAAATAGTTCCCCTTCACCTTTTTTTTTGGTACCGGGCATCGAACTCGGGACCTTGCACTTGCAAGGCAGGTGGAGGCACCACTGAGCTAAATCCCCAGCTGTCCCCTTCACTTTAAATGCACTTAGTCTCCATCAGTCTTGGCACTTTCTAAGGCATTTCTGAAAGTCCTCTTTCGTGAGTGTCTTTGTGAGATGTGATAAAACAACACAACACAGTGAGGCTGCTGCTGAGTACCGTCCAACAGAAAGGCGGGCTTGTTAAAACATCGCAGTGCGTCCTCATCCACCTTCTTCACCAGATCTGGCACCCCATGACTTCTGGCTCTTCCCCCAAAATAAAATGTCCATGAAAAGCAAAACTTTTGAATTGATTCAGGACATTGTGGCAGCCATAACAGCACAACTAAAGACACAATGGCAGTGTGCCTTTTCCTCTAATAAATGTTTATTTAAAAATGTAGACATTCACTGTAGTTTTTATCACACCTGGTACACATCTGTTCACCCACACACCTGTGGGTCCCCTGAATGGCCAGTCTCAGCAGACCCTGAGGTGGACAGTGTTTGGGGAGATGGATCTGGAGATAGAGTGGAGAGGAGAGTCAGGGATTGACATCTCAGCTTGGTGGCCGCAGTGGACTTCCTTGGAGCCTGTGCTGGGAAATTTCACCAGGGCTTCCTGTGTAGGAAAGAGCTCTGGGCTGGAAGGCAAGACGCTGAGTTCAGAGCTCGGGTTTTGCCAGTGTGTGGGAGCTTCTGCTTCTCATCTGAACTGGGAATGAAGTTCTCTGCCCAGCGGAAACAGTGGCGTGGCCACCGGTCATTTGGATGGGAGTGTTTAACTTAGGGGTGGCATCGTTTCAGCACCTTGGACAGGACCCTACCCGCTACCCTCTTCGAGCCCAGGGCCTGGAGAGGACTGAACACCAGGGTGAGGGACCAGTGACAGAGGGGCTCGGGCCGGCAGAGCTCTGGGGTCCCCACAGCCCTGTCCTGACTTCTTGCTGTGAGAGGGGAGGCACCTTTCCTCTCACCTGCCCTGGCTACAGAGGAGGGTGAATTAGGTTGAGGGGACCGAGTGGGGCTGTCCGTCCACTTCTCCAGGACTCCTCCATGCATTAACCATTCCACTCACTCTTCTCACAGCACCTGACTCATACTAGTGTGTGTCTCTCTGAGGACAAGGACACATTTCCCTCTAACTCTTCCTAACCACTGCCCCGCCATGCCTACCTTGCCAGTGAACTTTTTTGGGTACTGGTGGGGTACCAGGGATAGAACTCTGGACCTTGCGCTTGCAGGGCAGGCGGCCGAACCACCTGAGCTAAATCCCCGGCCCCTGAACTCTTTCTGAAATGAGTGAAACCTTGGGAGGAGCAATGCCCTCAATGCAGAAGTTTCCAGCCTGACATTTATAGGAAGGAAATTCACGTTGTCTCTCCAGGGCCCTGGCCTGCAGGGCTGGGACTTGAATCCACCTGCTGGCCTCTGATAAGCAGATGGCTGCCCTGGAGACCGGAGCAGCTGTCCTCTAGCACCACCTCTGGGCTCCTTGGGCAATGGCAGGAGCTTCTCCCTTCAGTCCTGTGGGGCAGTTAGGCAGACTCGGGCTAGATTCCCTGCCTTGAAATACAGCTTTGCTGCTTTTATACTTGTGTGACCTT